CTCATCCCTCACGTTCACTACCACCCCCGCAAGGGAGTACCTTCCGGGGAAAACTTTTGCCAGCTCCCTCGCCAGATTCCCCTTTTTCTCCTTTTCCGCCGTCCTCCACCACCGGAGGAGGGCTTCAGGCGTGCATTCTCCAGGCTCAGCCTGCTCTCTCTTGCCTCCAAGCTTTTTGGGGGGCGCCCTCCCGTCCAAATCGTTCTCCAGGTCATCACCAAGAGCTTTCCCGTCGGCGCCAACCCACCCTCCGGTGTCCACCGACGTTCCCGGAACGGGGGCCTCCCCGGGCTCGAGCCCAATTTTGGCCATTTTTTTCCGCCTCGTTCTCTCTTTCGCTCCTTCATCGTGCCACCTTGGGGTGGGCGGAGAGTCGCCCTTCACCGGCACGAAACCCCCCGGCACGCCGTTATCGTCGGTGTCGGGCCACCCCCCGATGTTGGTGAGAGTAACGCCACCTCCCACGTCGGCGCAGGCCTCCTCTTCCGTCCCCGCCGCCCCATCTGGGGCCGGGCCCTCGCTGGGCACAGTCCCGCTCGCAGGCAGCCCACTCCCCCCCGGGTCCATTTCCATCTCTTCCCCCTCCCCCGGGACAGGCGAAGGGGTGCTTCCCGGAGCCTCGACGCCACCCGGCACAGCCACGGCGCCGGTGGCGGTCGTCGGTTGTTCCTCTCCCTGCGTTGGAGGGGGGTGAGGTCGGGCCCGGAGGTCGCGCCCCCGGCTCGGTCGTCTCCACCAGGGGCGCGCCACCCACGCCCCCCCCCCCCCTCCGCAGGGCGGTCAGCTGGCTGGGTACCGTCGCCAGCTGTTTGGCTGTTCCCATGGGCTGGGCGCTCCCGCGCCTGCCCATCTTCCTCCTCTTCCGCGCCCCTCCGACGCCGGTGGACGCTCCACTGTCATCGGCAGCGGGTTCCTCCTCCGGTGCCGGCTCTCCGCGCTCCGGCACGGAAACGGCACCATCCTGCTGCGGCTGTTGCTGCTGCCGGTGTTGATGCGGCGGCTGCTGCTGCACATCCTGCTGCGGCAGCGGCGGCGGGGGGTGCTCCCTCACCCGCTGCTGCTGCTGCTGCGGCTGTTGCTGCTGCTGGTTCTGCAGCTGCTGCTGCTGCCGCTCACGACACTCCTGCTGCTGCCGCCGTTGCGGCTGCAGCGTCGGCGTCGTCCTGTCACGGCTCCACCCGACCCCACCTTGGTGGAGCAGTTCTTTCTCACGTGCCCCACGCCGCCACATCCGTAGCAGCGCGGTGCGGTCGTAGCCAGGTACACCGTGTGGACGCGGCCACCAGCGGTGCGCTTGATGGCCACGTCCAACACGGTGCGTCCACCTTTCAGGATGAGGAGCACCTGCCGTTGCCCGGACAAAATGTGTCGCATGGCAGGGTTCCGCGTCCTTATAGGCAGCAGGCTGATGTTTGAGGCCACCGTGCCGAAGCGTTGCAGCTCTCCGATCAGCTCTGCGTCAGTTATATATGGTGGAGCGCCCGTGATGGTAATCCGCGCCGTCGGTGCTGTGAGCGGGGTGCACTGCACCAGCTGCCCCCCCTCACCTCCGACTGCGAGTCCTTTCTCCACCACCCGTGCCGCCGCCTCCACCGTGGCTACGTACACGACATAGCCACGATTTTCCCGCTGCACCACCCGGACAGCAGGCAGCCCGGTGTGCATTGCCACTGCTGTGGCGACTTCCTCAGCTGTTGTCCCCGGCGATGGGAAACAGCGGAAGCCGTGATCGTCAGTGAGGGCCTCCATGCTGCTGGGCTGAACCACGTCGCCCGCATGGCAGCACCAGCAGCAACAAAAATATTCGCCAAAAAAATAAAATAAAATAAACTAACAAAATAAAAACCAAAATAACAAAATAAACAAAATAATAAAACACCACACAAACACACAACACACAACCAACCCCAACCGCCAGACAGACAGCCAAACACACACACGTGCACAGACCACCACACAAACAAACACACGCACCACCAACCCCACAAGCAGACAACGAAAAACCGAACAAATAAAACAAACACACGAACAAAACGACAAACAAACGAACAAATACACGCACAAGCAGACACACAAACACACAACCACACAACCAGACACTCACCAAACGAACAACCAGGCCAAACACACGCGGTGGTAGGCCAGGTAAAAAACACCAGGCAAACACACGAACGCCCAACCAAGCAGACAAACAAACAAAGCAAACACACAGACACACGCACAACACAGACAAACCCACAAACGACAGTAGTAATAAAAACCTAACTACAGCAGGCCGATACACGGGGAGAAACGCAGAAATAACCTAGCGTTTTTCCCTAGGAAAACTCTCTCTAGCCCAGGCTCAGGCTCACACCTGAGCCCAGGCCTCCATCCACACACACGTTAGAGCAGGAGCTCCAGGTGCACACAACCGCACCCAACGGTGGCGAGAGAGAGAGAGAGAAAGACAGAGAGACACAGAGACACAGAGAGACACAGAGACACAGAGAGACAGAGAGAGAGAGACAGACACAGAGAGACAGAGAGAGAGAGACAGAGAGACACAGAGAAACACAGAGAGACAGAGAGACACAGAGAGACACAGAGAGACAGAGAGACACAGAGAGACAGAGAGACACAGAGAGACAGAGACACAGAGACACAGAGAGAGACAAAGAGAGACACAGAGACCCAGAGAGACAGAGACAGAGAAACACACAGAGACACAGAGAGACAGAGAGAGAGAGACAGAGAGACACAGAGAGACAGAGAGACAAAACAGAGACACAGAGAGACGGCGTTTGCCGCTCACCCTTGACGCTCTGGAAGTAGAGCGTCTCGCCGTGAGGGTTGCTCCACTGGATTGCGTCCGACTGCGGATTGTCGGACGCCGCACAGCGGAGAGTTGCCGTGTCTCCCTCGCTCACCGTGTCTCCCGTGGCCCACACGGTGATCCCAGCAGCAGCTGCACGGGAGAGACACGGGGAGAGAGAGAGACACGGGGAGAGAGAGAGACACTCACCCACCCACTCACTCAACCACTCACTCACCCACTCACTCACCCACCCACTCACCCACTCACTCACTCACTCACCCACTCACTCACTCACTCACCCACTCACTCACCCACCCACTCACCGACCCACTCACTCACTCACTCACCCACTCACTCACTCACTCACCCACTCACCCACTCACCCACTCACTCACCCACTCACTCACCCACTCACTCACTCACCCACTCATTCACTCACTCACCCACCCACTCACACACCCACTCACCCACCCACCACTCACTCACTCCACCCCACTCACTCACTCACTCACCCACTCACCCACTCACTCACCCACTCACTCACTCACCCACTCACTCACACACCCACTCACTCACTCACCCACTCACTCACTCACCCAATCACTCACTCACCCACTCACTCACTCACCCACTCACTCACCCACTCACTCACTCACCCACCCACTCACTCACCCACTCACTCACTCACTCACTCACCCACTCACTCACCCACTCACTCACCCACTCACTCACTCACACACTCACCCACTCACTCACTCACCCACTCACTCACCCACTCACTCACTCACCCAATCACTCACTCACTCATCACCACTCACTCACACTCACCCACTCACTCCACCCACTCACCCACTCACTCACTCACCCACTCACTCACCCACTCACTCACTCCACTCACCCCACCCATCACTCACCCACTCACTCACTCACTCACTCACCCCTCACTCACTCACACACCCACTCACCCACCCACCAACTCACTCACTCACCACTCACTCACTCACCCACTCACTCACTCACTCACCCCACCCACTCACTCACCCACTCACCCACTCACTCACTCACCTCACTCACTCACTCACTCCTCACTCACTCACTCACCCACTCACTCACCCATCACTCACTCACCACTCACTACTCACTCACCTACTCACTCACCTACTCACTCACCGACTCACTCACCCACTCACTGACCCACTCACTCACTCACCTACTCACTCACTCACTCACCCACTCACTCACTCACTCACCAACTCACTCACCCACTCACTCACTCACCTACTCACTCACCCTACTCACTCACGACTCACTCACCCACTCACTCACCCACTCACTCACTCACCCACTCACTCAATCACCGACTCACTCACCTACTCACTCACCGACTCACTCACCGACTCACTCACCCACTCACTCACTCACTCACCGACTCACTCACTCACCTACTCACTCACCTACTCACTCACCAACTCACTCACCCACTCACTCACCCACTCACCCACTCACTGACTCACCCCCTCACTCACTCACCTACTCACTCACCTACTCACTCACCGACTCACTCACCCACTCACTCACCCACTCACTCACCCACTCACTCACCCACTCACTCACTCACTCAACCACTCACCCACTCACTCACCTACTCACTCACCTACTCACCCACTCACTCACTCACTCACCCACTCACCACCCACTCAACCACTCACTCACCCACCCAATCACCCACCACTCACCCACCCACCCACTCACTCACCCACTCACCCACTCACTCACTCACTCACCCACTCACTCACCCACTCACTCACTCACTCACCCACTCATCACCACCCACTCACTCACTCACTCACCTACTCACTCACCTACTCACTCACCGACTCACTCACCCACTCACTGACCCACTCACTCACTCACCCACTGACTCACTTACCGACTCACTCACCTACTCACTCACTCACTCACCCACTCACTCACTCACTCACCGACTCACTCACCCACTCACTCACCTACTCACTCACCTACTCACTCACCGACTCACTCACCCACTCACTCACCCACTCACTCACTCACCCACTCACTCACTCACCGACTCACTCACTCACCTACTCACTCACCTACTCACTCACCGACTCACTCACCCACTCACTCACCCACTCACTCACCCACTCACTCACTCACTCACCTACTCACTCACCTACTCACTCACCAACTCACCCACTCACTCACCCACTCACTCACTCACTCACCCACTCACTCACTCACTCACCCACTCACTCACTCACCTACTCACTCACCTACTCACTCACCGACTCACTCACCCACTCACTCACCCACTCACTCACCCACTCACTCACTCAACCACTCACCCACTCACTCACCTACTCACTCACCTACTCACCCACTCACTCACTCACTCACCCACTCACTCACCACCCACTCAACCACTCACTCACCCACCCAATCACCCACCACTCACCCACCCACCCACTCACTCACCCACTCACCCACTCACTCACTCACTCACCCACTCACTCACTCACTCACTCACCCACTCACTCACTCACTCACCCACTCACTCACCCACTCACTCACTCACTCACTCACCTACTCACTCACCTACTCACTCACCGACTCACTCACCGACTCACTCACCCACTCACTGACCCACTCACTCACCCACTCACTCACCGACTCACTCACCCACTCACTCACTCACCTACTCACTCACCTACTCACTCACCGACTCACTCACCCACTCACTCACCCACTCACTCAAACACTCACTCACTCAACCACTCACCCACTCACTCACCTACTCACTCACCTACTCACCCACTCACTCACCCACCCACTCACTCACCACCCACTCAACCACTCACTCACCCACCCAATCACGCACCACTCACCCACCCACTCACTCACCCACTCACTCACTCACTCACCCACTCACTCACTCACCCACTCACTCACTCACCCACTCACTCACCGACTCACTCACTCACTCACCCACTCATCTACTCACTCACTCACTCAATCACCCACTCACTAACTCACACACTCACTCACTCACCCACTCACTCACCCACTCACTCACTCACCTACTCACTCACCAACCCACCCACCTACTCACTCACTCAACCACTCACTCACCCACCCACTCACTCACCCACCCACCCACCCACTCACTCACCACCCACTCAACCACTCACTCACCCACCCAATCACCCACTCACTGACCCACTCACTCACTCACTCACCCACTCACTCACTTACCGACTCACTCACCCACTCACTCACCTACTCACTCACCTACTCACTCACCGACTCACTCACCCACTCATCCACTCACTCAAACACTCACTCACTCAACCACTCACCCACTCACTCACCTACTCACTCACCTACTCACCCACTCACTCACTCACCCACCCACTCACTCACCACCCACTCAACCACTCACTCACCCACCCAATCACCCACCACTCACCCACCCACCCACTCACTCACTCACCCACTCACCCACTCACCTACTCACTCACCTACTCACTCACCGACTCACTCACCGACTCACTCACCCACTCACTGACCCACTCACTCACCCACTCACTCACTTACCGACTCACTCACCCACTCACTCACCTACTCACTCACCTACTCACTCACCGACTCACTCACCCACTCACTCACCCACTCACTCAAACACTCACTCACTCAACCACTCACCCACTCACTCACCTACTCACTCACCTACTCACCCACTCACTCACTCACCCACCCACTCACTCACCACCCACTCAACCACTCACTCACCCACCCAATCACGCACCACTCACCCACCCACTCACTCACCCACTCACTCACTCACCACCCACTCAACCACTCACTCACCCACCCAATCACGCACCACTCACCCACCCACTCACTCACCCACTCACTCACTCACTCACTCACCCACTCACTCACCCACTCACTCACTCACTCACTCACCCACTCACTCACTCACCCACTCACTCACCCACTCACTCACTCACTCACCCACTCACTCACTCACCCACTCACTTACTCACCCACTCACTCACCGACTCACTCACTCACTCACCCACCCACCCACCCACCCACCCACTCACTCACTCACCTACTCACTCACCTACTCACTCACCAACCCACCCACCTACTCACTCACTCACCCACTCACTCAACCACTCACCCACTCACTCACTCACTCACCGACTCACTCACCCACTCACTCACTCACCCACTCACTCACTCACCTACTCACTCACCTAGTCACTCACCAACCCACCCACCTACTCACTCACTCAACCACTCACTCACTCACCGACTCACTCACCCACTCACTCACCCACTCACTCACCCACTCACCCACTCACTCACTCACTCACCTACTCACTCACCCACTCACTCACTCACTCACCCACTCACCCACCCACCCACCCACCCACCCACCCACTCACTCACCACCCACTCAACCACTCACTCACCCACCCACTCACCCACCCACCCACTCACTCATCACCCACTCACTCACTCACTCACCCACTCACTCACTCACTCACCCACTCACTCACTCACCCACCCACTCACTCACTCACCCACCCACTCACCCACCCACCCACTCACTCACTCACCCACTCACTCACTCACCCACTCACTCACCCACTCACTCACCCACCCACCCACCCACCCCACCCACTCACTCACCACCCACTCAACCACTCACTCACCCACCCACTCACCCACCCACCCACTCACTCATCACCCCACTCACTCACTCACTCACCCACTCACTCACTCACTCACCCACTCACTCACTCACCCACCCACACTCACTCACCCACCCACCCACTCACCCACCCACCCACTCACTCATCACCCACTCACTCACTCACCCACTCACTCACCCACTCACATCACCCCCACTCCACTCACGCACACCACCCACTCATCCACCCACCCACTCATCCACCCACCCACCCACCCACTCACTCACCACCCACTCACCCACTCACCACCCACCCATTCACCCACTCACCCACTCACCCACCCACTCACTCACCCACTCACCCACCCACTCACCCACCCACTCACTCCACCCACCCACTCACTCACCCACCCCACATCACTCACTCACCCACCCACCCACCCACCCACTCACCCACTCACTCACTCACTCACCCACCCACCCACCTCACCCACTCACCCACTCACTCACCCACCCACTCACCCACCCACCCACCCACTCACTCACTCACCACCCACTCAACCACTCACTCACCCACCCACTCACCCACCACCCACTCACTCATCACCCACTCACTCACTCACTCACCCACTCACTTCACTCACTCACCCACCCACTCACTCACTCACTCACCCACCCACCCACTCACTCACCCACCCACCGACCCACTCACCCACCCACTCATCCACCCACCCACCCACCCACTCACCCACCCACCCACCCACTCACCCACTCACTCACCCACCCACTCACTCACCCACCCACTCACCCACTCACTCACCCACTCACCCACTCACCCACCCACCCACTCACCCACCCACTCACTCACTCACTCACCCACCCACTCACTCACCCACCCACCCACCCACTCACCCACCCACTCATCCACCCACCCACCCACCCACTCACCCACCCACCCACCCACTCACCCACTCACTCACCCACCCACTCACTCACCCACCCACTCACCCACTCACTCACCCACTCACCCACTCACCCACCCACCCACCCACCCACCCACTCACCCACGGCGCTGTGTGGTGGAGGGAAGGAGACACAGGACAGGGGAGACCACTCCCCTGTCTTCCTCCGCGGGTAGTTGACTGCGACTCTCACGCGGACGCAGAACTCAGCAGCGACTCCGGGCCGAGGTGCCGCGTGGAGGTAGTGACATCCCACAAAGTGCTCCTAGCAGAAGCACCATCATCATCAGCAGCATCATCATCATCAGTGACATCATCATCAGTAGCAGCAGCATCATCAGTACCATCATCATCATCAGTAGCACCATCATCATCATCATCAGCACCATCATCATCATCATCAGCAGCATCATCATCATCAGCATCATCATCATCATCAGTACCATCATCATCATCATCAGCACCATCATCATCATCATCATCAGCAGCATCATCATCATCATCAGCAGCATCATCATCATCAGTACCATCATCATCATCAGTACCATCATCATCATCATCAGCACCATCATCATCATCATCAGTACCATCATCATCATCATCAGTACCATCATTATCATCATCAGTACCATCATCATCATCAGTACCATCATCATCATCATCAGTGGCATCATCATCAGTAGCAGCAGCATCATCAGTACCATCCGCATCATCATCATCAGTGGCATCATCATCAGTAGCAGCAGCATCATCAGTATCATCATCATCATCAGTAGCATCATCAGTACCATCATCATCATCAGTAGCAGCAGCAGCATCATCATAGCATCATCATCATCAGTACCATCATCATCAGTACCATCATCATCATAGTACCATCATCATCATCATCAGTGGCATCATCATCAGTAGCAGCAGCATCATCAGTATCATCATCATCATCATCAGTAGCATCATCAGTACCATTATCATCATCAGTAGCAGCAGCATCAGCTCATCAGTAGCATCATCATCATAGCATCATCATCAGTAGCAACAGCAAGCTCCATCAGTACCATCATTCAGTAGCAACATCATCAGTAGCAGCACATCATCAGTACCCATCTCATCATCAGTAGCATCATCATCAGTAGCAGCAGCATCAGTACCATCATCATCATCAGTAGCAGCATCATCAGTAGCAGCAGCAGCATCATCAGTACCATCATCATCATCAGTAGCATCATCATCAGTAGCAGCAGCAGCATCATCAGTACCATCATCATCAGTAGCATCATCATCAGTAGCAGCAGCATCATCATCAGTATCATCATCATCAGTAGCGTCATCATCATTAGCAGCAGCATCATCATCAGTATCATCATCATCAGTAGCATCATCATCAGTAGCAGCAGCATCATCATTTTCATCAGTAGTAGTAGCATTATCATGCTACTACCACTCAACCACTCACCCACCCAATCACCCACCACTCACGCAACCACTCGCCCACCCACCCGCTCACCCACCCACCCACTCACCCACCGACCCACTCGACTACTCACCCACTCACTCACCTACCTACCCACTCAACCACTCACTCACCCACTCACTCACCCAATCACCCACCCACTCACTCACCCACCCACTCACTCACCCACTCACCTCACCACCTCACCCACCTACCCACCCACTCACTCACCCACTCACTCACACTCACCAACTCACTTACTCACTCACCCACCCACTCATTCACCCACCCACTCATTCACCCACTCATTCACCCACTCACTCACCCACTCACCCACTAACTTAACCACTCACCACCCACTCACTCACCCAACCACCCACTCACTCACTCACTTACCCACCCACTCACTCACCCACCCACTCACCCACTCACCCACCCATCCAGCCACCCACCACCCACCCACTCACCCACTCACCCACCCACTCACCCACCCACTCACCCACCCATCCAGCCACCCACCCACTCACCCACCCACCCACTCACCCACCCACCCAGCCACCCACCCACCCACCCACCCACTCACCCACCCACCCACCCACCCACTCACCCACTCACCCACCCACCCACCCACTCACCCACCCACCCACCCACTCACCCACCCACCCACCCACTCACCCACCCACCCACTCACCCACTCACCCACCCACCCACTCACTCACCCACTCACCCACCCACCCACTCACTCACCCACTCACCCACCCACCCACTCACTCACTCACCCACCACCCACCCACTCACCCACTCAGCCCCCACTCACCCACCCACCCCTCACCCACCCATCCCAGCCACCCCCCCCACCCCCTCACCCACCCACCCCACCCACCCACTCACCCACCCCACCCACTCACCCACCCACTCACCCACCCATCCCGCCACCCACCCACCCACTCACCCACCCACTCACCCCCCCACTCATCCACCCACCCACCCACCACTCACCCACCACCCACTCACTCACCCACCCACCCACTCACCCACCCACCCACCCCCTCACACCACCACCCACCCACCCACTCATCCACTCACCCACCCATCCAGCCACCCACTCTCTCACCCCACCCCCATCCACTCACCCACTCACCCACCCACTCACCCACCCACCTCACTCACCCACCCACCCCCACTCACCCAACCACCCACTCACCACTCACCCACCCTCACCCACACCCCCACTCCCCCACTCCCCACTCACCCACCCACTCACCCACCCCCCACTCACTCACCACCACCCACCCACTCACCCACCCACCCCCCACTCACCCCCACCCACTCACCCACCCCTCACTCACTCACTCACCTTACCCACCCCCCACCCCATCACCCTCACCCACCCCCACTCACCCCCCCTCACCCACCCACCCCCTCACCCACCCACCCACCCACCCCCACCCACCCACCCACTCCACTCACTCACCCACCCCCCCACTCACCCACCCAATCACCCACTCACCCACCCACTCACCCACCCACTCACTCACCACCCACTCACTCACCCACCCACTCACCCACCCACCCACCCACCCCTCACCCACCCACCCACCCCCCCCCAATCACCCACTCACCCCCACTACCACCCACCCACCCACCACCCACCCACTCACCCACCCACTCACCCACTCACTCACCCACCCACCCACTCACCCCCCACCCCCCACCCACACTCACTCACCCCCCACCCCTCCACCCACCCCCACCCACCCCACTCACCCACCCACTCACCATCACCCACCCACCCACCCACCACCCACCCACCCACCCACCCACCCACTCACCCACTCACCCCCCACCACTCACCCACTCACCCACCACCCACCCACTCACCCACTCCACTCCACCCACTCACTCACCCACTCACTCACCCACCCACTCACCCACTCACTCACCACCCACCCACTCACCCACCCACCCACCCACTCACCCACCCACCCACCACACTCACCCACCCACTCACCCACTCACCCACCCACTCACCCACCCACTCCACCCACCCACTCACCCACCCAACTACCCCACTCACCCACCACTCACCCCCACTCACTCACCCACTCACCCACCCACCACTCACTCACCCACCCACCCACTCCACCCACCCACTCACCCACCACTACCCACCCACCCACCACCACTCACCCACCCACCCACTCACCACCCCACCCACTCACCCACCCACCCACTCCACCCACTCACTCACTCACTCACCCACCCACCCCACTCACCCACTCACCCACCCCACCCACTCACCCACCCCCCTCACCCACCCACTCACCCACCCACCCACCCACTCACCCACCCACCCACTCACCCCCCCACTCACCCACTCACCCACCCACTCACCCCCCCCACTCACCCACTCACCCACCCACTCACCCACCCACTCACTCACCCACCCACTCACTCACCCACCCACCCACTCACCCACCCACCCACCCACTCACCCACCCACCCACCACTCACCCACCCAATCACCCACTCACCCACCCACTCACCCACCCACTCACCCACTCACCCACCCACTCACCCACCCAATCACCCCACCCACTCACCCACTCACTCACCACCCACCCACTCACTCACTCACCCACCCACCCACTCACCCACTCACCCACCTCACCCACTCACCCACCCACCCCACCACCCACTCACCCACTCACCCACCCACCCACTCACCCACCCCCTCACCCACCCACTCACCACCCACCCACCCACTCACCCACTCACCCACACTCACCCACCCACTCACCCACTCACCCACCCACTCACCCACCCACTCACCCACTCACCCACCTACCCCCCACTCTCACCGTGCTGCTGGTAGTGCCCCCCCTTGTGGAGACCTCTGCTTGCAGGAGGTACAACACGTCACTCCGCTCCATCCTCCTCCTCCACCCACTCTTCATGGAGACCCCAATGGAGAGCTCCCACCACTCCACCTCTCTCTCGTCGTGGTGGTGGTCATCCTCATGGTCATCATCGCCGTCGTCATCATCGTCATGGTGGTCATCGTCGTCATGGTGATAATCGTCGTGGTCATCATCGCCGTGGTCATCGTCGTCGTGGTCATCATCGCCGTGGTCATCGTCGTCGTGGTCGTCGTCATGGTGATCATCGTCGTGGTCATCGTCGTCGTGGTCATCGTCGCCGTGGTCATCGTCGTCATGGTGATCATCGTCGTGGTCATCGTCGTGGTCGTCATCCTCAACACGGCACTCCTCATCACCATCACCACCACCACGAGCACCAGTCACTTTCTTGTGGCGCATCAAGGTGACCATCGGAGCACTGAGCACAGCTGAGACAAAGACAAAGATCCCCCGCGTAGCCTTAACAGACTGTAGGGGCAAGTGCTGTTAGCGAGCACCTATGAAGGCCGGCACGGCACACGAGGGGGTGGGTGGCCAGCACCACGCCCGGCCTGCCTTTGTCTCCCCAGTGGCGATGTTTACACACCGCACCAGGTACTCACTTGAGGCTGAGTCGGCCTAGGGGAGGCCCGGGACCGGTTCAGATAATCGTCACTGTTGGTGTTGGCCGTGAGCGGGAATCGAACCTGGTTCGCCAGGTTCATAGCGAAGCGCGCTAACCACTACACCACCACTCCCCACTACCTTGACACACACACAGTCACACACAGACACACACACACGAACACACAGTCACACGCAGAGACACAGACACACACAGTCATACGCAGAGACACACACACAGACACACATACACAAAGACGGACACACAGACACTCATACACACAGACACACACACAGAGACACACACACACACAGACACACACATACACACAGAGACACACACACACACAGACAAACACACAGAGACAGACAAACATACAGAGACACACACGCAGACAAACACACAGACAAACACACAGAGACAGAGACACACACACAGACACACACAGTCACACACAGAGACACACACACACAGACACACACACACACACATGCAGACAAACACACAGAAACAGAGACACACAGTGAGAGACACACACAGACACACACACAGACACACAGAGACAGAGACACACAGAGAGAGAGACACACACACACAGACACACACACACAGAGACACACAGACACACACACACAGAAACACACATACACACACAGACACACACACACAGACACACACAAACAGAGACACACAGAGAGACACACACACAAACACACAGAGACACACAAACACACAGAGAGACACACACACACAAACACACAGACACAGAGACACACAGAGAGAGACACACACACACACATACACAGACACACACACACAGAGACAGAGACACTCAGAGAGAGACACACACAAACCAGGCCACTCACACACACACAGACACACAGAGACAGAGACACAGAGAGAGACACACACACACACACAACAACAACAACAACAACCGCCATTCGCCACTAAGTGGCGGTGACGTCACCACGATGCTTGTGCCAGGCCAAGTGCACCTTGAGGCCACGTGAAGTGTCGAACGCCCGCTGGCAGGAGGTCACGGGGCAGACCCAGCAGGTGCCACGGGTCGACTGACCGAGATGACCGAGATGACTGGCTGATGCACCACCTGTGCCCCCTACTGTACCAACTTGCTGTGCTTTAGCCACCCGGCGCTCCGCTCGTTGTTGTGAGCGTCGCTCCTCCACCCTCCGTTGTTGTTGGAGGGCGACTGCCTCCAACTGCCCAGTAGCGTCCTTCACGAGCCTCCTCCACTGAGGCCGATCTTGACACCGCTGGTACCAGTCATCGGCAAGTCCACTCAGCTCCACGTCCTCTTGTACCACATCACTCCATCTCCTCTCTAGCCCGTGCCGCGCCCGTTTAGCCCCCTCGATCCGGCCGAATAAAAGCTGTTTAGGCATGCAGTGGCTGGGCATGCGGGCTACATGACCCAGCCAACGCAGCCTTGCCTGCCGGAGGAGCTCACTGATGGGACTTTGCCCAGATCTTTCAAGGATTTGTGAGCTCCTCACACAATCCAGCCTGGTTAAACCCAGGATGGATCGTAGGCAGGCCAGCCTAAATGTTTCCAACCGGCGAAGATGCTCCACTAGGGGGGTCCACGTTTCGCAAGCGTAGAGAAGGGAGGGAATGACCGTGGCCGAGAAGACCTGAAGCTTCGTGCGGAGCGACAGACAAGGTAGCTTCCACACAGCGTTACGCAACCGATGAAAAGATATTGCCGCTCGACTGATTCGGAGTGAGACCTCTGCTGATAAACTGGAGCCGGTCATAAGCACACTGCCCAGGTATGGGAAACTCTCCACTCTCTCCACAACTGCCCCATCACCAATTGGGAGTTGTGGGGGTGGAGTGTCCGATGGTACAAAATACCCAGGCAGGTGCTTAGTTTTGGTGGGGCTGATGGTAAGGCCCCACCTCTTAGTGGCACGCTCCAGTCTCAGCAGCAGCGTCTCCAACTCCTCTTCTGAATGAGCAGCTATTACCAAATCATCGGCATACATAACGTGGTTGACCAATAGGGAGCCATCCCTTGATCATACCCGGGCATCGATCAGCCTCCCATTATATCTGTACCAAATGGAAATTCCCCCGGTACAGCTATTGAAGGCTTCACGAACTACGCGGTCAAAATAGATGTTAAATAATGTGGGAGCCAGAGGACATCCCTGTCGCACCCCAAGGTGTACAGGGAAAGGCTCCGACTCCCGGCCACGTAGTTTTACCCGGGCCCGCTCACCATCATGAAGGTCCTTAATGATCGTGAGCAGAGGGTCAGGGACTCCGAAAGCACGAAGAACAACCCAGAGCCCAGTCCTACTGATGGTATCATAGGCCTTGACCAGGTCAATAAAGCAGAGATGTAGGTCTTTTTGGAATTCCCTACACCTCTGCTGTAGCAGACGGACAGAAAATATGGCATCTGTGCAGGACCGCCCTTTCCTGAAACCGCATTGGGGCTCCGCAAGCCTCTCCTCAGCGTGCCTAGCAAGGCGATGTTGAATAATCCTTGCCAGGACCTTACCCGGCACACTGAGGAGTGAGATGCCCCTGTAGTTGTTACAGTCGGTACGGTCCCCCTTCTTAAAGAGGGGGACCACCAGGGCATCCTTCCAGTCCTGCGGAACCCGTCCAGTGGTCCAGACTGTTGTTATGATTTCATATAGGGCAGTCTGTGCACAAACGCCACCCTCCCTCAGCATTTCGCTTGGGAGATCATCTCTGCCCGGTGCCTTCCCTGGTCTCAGACTCCGGATCGCCCTCAGTACTTCCTCAACAGCTGGCACCTCAGCCAGCCACTCACAGGGGGTGACCTCTTCCAATATTTGAGGCACCGCAGCCTCAGCAGGGTTATCACCACTTTGTGCCATGATGTTTTCCTGGCTGAGAGAATTTCCCTCCCCCAGGACCTAACAGAAATGCTCAGCAAATCTGCAAACCTGTTCCTGGGGGTCGGAGATTGGATCACCGTTTTTTCCTCTAATGATGGTAACAGGTGTGGCGCTGCAGGTTACTTTTTTGATGGAGTTAAATAGTGATTTGTGATCACGGGCCACTGAGGCAGACTCCATCTCCTCAGCAACCCGCGACCACCACCCATCCTTACAGCGCCTTACGGCTCTCCGAACTTCCGAGCGAAGGCTGCGGTAAACCTCCTCATTCTCTGACGTGGGATGCTGTAGGCGATGAGAGTGGGCCTGTCGCTTTTTCTCAATTAACCTGAACACCTCCTCTGTCAGCCAGGGTTTCTGGGGAGGTCTGGACCGCGTACCCAAAGCAGCCATTGCAGCTGCATGAGTCACAGTCTTAAACCTCGCCCATTTACCCTCGACATCAGGTGGAGTGGGGGACGATGCCAACCCCAGCTGCAAGCGATGATGAAATTCTCGCTTGCAACTTTCATCAGCTAACTGAGACCAGGCCACTTTTGGTTGGAATGGGATCCTGGGTGTACACCCACCACCGGAGTGGAAGAAAGGCAGGCGCATCTTACAGATGACTAGTCGATGGTCAGAGGGCAGATCAGCTCCACGGTAGGTCCTGGTGTCAAGGACATGGGCTCGCATTCGCTGGTCCGTCACTATGTAGTCCAGCAGATGCTCTTGCTTGGACCCGGCATGTATCCATGATGTTGTGTGGATGCGCCGATGCCGGAAGAGCGTGTTGGTAATTACAAGCCCATGGGCTGCACAAAAATCTAGCAGCCTCCTACCGTTATTATTGAGCTGATCTGGCCCATGCCTTCCAATCACTCCAGACCAGGTGTCAGCATCATGACGACACACACACACACACAGACACACAGAGACAGAGACACACAGAGACACACACACAGAAACACACACACACAGAGACACACAGAGAGAGACACACACACACATACACAGACACACAAACACACAGAGACAGAGACACACAGAGACACACACACACACAGACACACAGAGACAGAGACACACAGAGAGAGACACACACACACACAAACACACAGAGACAGAGACACACAGAGAGAGACACACAAACACACATACACAGACACACACACACACAAACAAACACACAGAGACAGAGACACTCAGAGAGAGACACACACAGACACACACACACACAGAGACACACAGAGAGACACACACACAGACACACAGAGACACACAGAGACACAAGACAAAGACAAAGATCCCCCGTATAGCCTTAACAGACTGTAGGGGCAAGTGCTGTTAGCGAGCACCTATGAAGGCCGGAACGGTACACGAGGGGGTGGGTGGCCAGCACCACGCCCGACCGCCTTTGTCTCCCCAGTGGCGATGTTTACACACTGCACCAGGTACTCATTTGAGGCTGAGTCGACCTAGGGGAGGCCCGGGACCGGTTCAGATAATCGTCACTGGTGTTGGCCGTGAGCGGGAATCGAACTCGTGTCGTCGGGTTCATAGCGCAGCGCGCTAAC